GTGTGGTGGTGATGATGACGGGGAGGAGGAGGAGGAGGACGGTGATGTTTCTGCTGCTTTGTTGACGTTGTTGTGCCTCTGCATGTGTGTGGTGACAGTGAAGCGCTTCACCCACCGGCTGGCCTTCACTTCCCACACACTGCCACTCAGAGTGAATGAGCAGAGGACGGATGGATGGATGGATGGATGGATGGAGGACACTGATTGGATGGAGCTTCCTTTAATCCACGCTCTTGTCGTGGCCTCTCCATCCCCGCCTCAGCTCCCTGCTCTCCGCTTCTTGAGTAATTACCGCCGCGCTCTTCCTCCTCACCAGCGCTGGAGGCCCTTCATTAGAGGAGAACCGGCGTTAATAAGCGGCAGGCGGCGTCCTCGGTCTCCGTAAACGTGTCGGCGTGACCCATCGCCTCGCTCCGGGGGTGGGGGGGGAAGACACACCTGTGGCGGTGACGGTCTGCCCGCCTCGCTGTCGCAGTTCGCAGGTAAACACGGAGCCGCTCGTCGCCCCGCGGCGGCCACGGGTCTCCACAGCAACGCCGTGACGCGCCAACCGGGAGCGAGCGGGGCGACAAACGGGAGGCGGCGGCGGCGGCGGCGGCGGCGGCGGCACCGGGCAGCGACGGTCCGCCGCAGAGATCGTCTATTGGACAGATGAGTCACTCTGGAAGGAAAACAGGAGGCGACACTTCAACTCACAGATGTTTTTGAGATTCAGAAAACTTTATTTGTCCCCAGGGGGCAATTAAAAAGTCACGAAGAGCAGGCAGTGCGACAGTGACGTAAAGATTAGGAACATAAACTCAACAAATAGGGATAAATATAAATATATATACAGATGTAGGACCAGTAAGATAATATAAGAATAAAAAATAGAATAAAAGAAAAGAAAAACAAACAAAAAATAAATTAAAAAATAAAGAACTCAGTAACACACTAGTGTAAACTGGTGCAAATACGACACAGATGTCACCAGGAGACCAGTAGATGATCTGCACTGAGACAAGACTTCTTTATTCTTCTTTTTAAATATGCAAGTAAAGCATCATATGTGTTTTTAATGTTCCCTAATATAAGACAGAACTGTTCTCTTACAGCTCTTGATGTGTCATAATATCGTGTTAAAAGCTGGTCTTTTCCACCAATAACCTTCTTTGGCTGCGTTGTCCTCCATGTCATACCTGTACATGTGTAAATCCATCGTGTCATAATGTCCATATCCAGATGTAGACTCATCATGCCTGCTATACTGTCTCGGTGACACCCTTTATTATTATTTCTTTTCTAGCCTTGTTGTACTTTCTCTAATTCTTGTGCTTCTTCCTGCCTTGACCTGTATCTGGCTGCTGTAACTTGTGAGTTTCCCCAGTGAAAGATCAATAAAGCGCTGACAAGTTTATCGTTTCTTAATTAACCCGATCACCCCTCCTACATGCTTATTGATATTTCTATATCTCTAGTGTACTTGGTAATACTCTTTTTTTATTGTAAATATAAGCAATGTTGTACCTTTATTGTAAATACCAGCAATTTTTGCACTTTATTTCTTCGACCACACGTTTGCACATTGCTTTCTTTACTTTTCTTAAATGTATCGTGCTGAATTTCCCTAATATATCGATCTATCTATCTATCTATCTATCTATCTATCTATCTATCTATCTATCTATCTATCTATCTATCTATTTCCAGAACAGAAATCTGAACATTATGTAAGGCCAACCTTTTGGATTTTATCACCAAACAAAAAGGAAGGTTGAGAAAATCAGGCTATGACCTACGTCTCAACTCTATTTGAAAACTTTCAGAATATAAACATGAATAAAACCTAAAAGCTTGGTGCAGCAAAGTGCTACTAAAGTGAATATTTCTGCCTCAGAATATAAGAAAAACTTCATTTTGAGAAAACAGCCTTTGAAGACATGTTCTATAATTAAAATCTACAGATGCACATCGACAAAGTGCAGTCAAAGAAACACTTTTATGTGCATTTTGGTTTAACAAAAAAGCACTTTCACCTGATTTCCTACCTGGACTTTGGGAAATCTGGATGTTCTAACACGAACAAAAACTGGATTATTAGGAGAATATCTGCAGATTTACCCAGAAAGAGGTTTCATTATTGTCAGTCCTACTACTTGGAAATTTTGGGGAAAAAAATCATGCAAACTGAGAGATACTGAGGTCATGAATACAAATATTTGAGAATATTCACACTGAAGTTATTCAGATAACTTTATTTCCTAACACAAATGTCTCAAGGGCATCTCTGCACCACCAGAAATACAGTCTGGTAGAAAAATGTTGAATCCCTGAAGCCTTTTATGAAAATAAGTCATTTTTATTGGCTGAGAAGTTGTCAAATTAGAATATATGGAGTCTTAAAGTACTAAAATCACCACATAAAACATACAAACTGTGATGTCTTTTAGGTGTAGGACACAAAGTCCACCCTGGAGCCACAAATTCCCTTAAAATGAATGAGGATTTGATCTTTGTGTGCAGAAAAAAAGCACAAAAACCACATCATAAATGAAAATGTGTGGATATGATCTCTGATAACCATATGTTCGTTAATGATGTCTATTTGTTTTCTATGTAATTCAAAATGAAAACCACTCTTTAGCCATATCACACAGCGCTAGAGCCTCCACAGAGTGAACTGTGTATGTTTTCTTTCACTTCAAATACGTACTGTTTCATGTCGTGTGCACATTATAGGGACAGAATACGTCATGGTGATGCTGCACCTTTAACCTCTGGAGTGTGAAATGAGCTCAAGGATCAGGATTGTTTTTACTCAAGTCAGACATCATGACACAACTGCACAGAGGCTTGTAGGTCAGATGGACCAGAAAAACATGACGGCTGCAAAAGCTGACCACATGTAGAAGAGCATCCTGGTGTTTTCAGTACACTGCATTTGATATACAAGAGCTATTTCTCACAGTGACAGATTTGAGAATGCATCCTGTAGTTTATCAAATGTAGAGTGTCAGAAATACCAGGATGTTGGGATTTCCTCCTGGATCTACAACAAGCTTTAATCACATTATTCTGATGAAGTGTATCATATATAATGTGCAATATTTCATATTTTTATTCCTCAGGTGTAATGTTTCACTTTCATGTACAACGTTGTCAATCTATTGGACAACATTTCATTTCCTTCTCATCTTTCAGGGACAATATCTCATTATCATGTGTGATATGACATCAGTTTACTTGTTTCCTGCTCTATTCTAGCCTTATTTTAGTTTACGTGTTCTATTTCAGTATTGTGTTGTATTTATATCTTACTGCTTTCTACTCTTTACGCTCTGCATTTCTTATGTTATGTCATTTTGTTTTTTTTCCGAGCAACATCTGGCACAAGAATTTCCTTCAGGATCAATATGTTTTTATCTTATCTTAAGTGTGTCCCATTGGCATGCATATCTAATGAAACAGTACATACCTAAAGCAATAATGATAACAATACATAAATAAATTAAAAGCTACTCAGGAAGACCGTTGAACAATCCAAATTAACTCACTTTATCTGCTGATATGTGGTTGAAAGTTCCAGTAAAGGGCTTTAAGTCAGGACCTTGAGTTGATATATTGATTTTAGAGCAGGGGTGTCCAATCCTGGTCCTGGAGGGCCACAATCCTGCATGTTTTAGATGTTTCCTTCTTCCAGCACACCTGATTCAAATGATCAGGATCGTTATCAGGCTTCTGCAGAGCTTGATGATGAGCTGATCATTTGAATCAGGTGTGTTGGAAGAGGGACATATCTAAAACATGCAGGATTGTGGCCCTCGAGGACCAGGATTGGACACCCCTGTTGTAGAGGATGTTTTTTGTGTTTGTTTTGGTGCTGTGAGTTCTGAAACACCATTTTATTCTAATTTAAAGAATGCAAACAGGAGTTGTGGTTGAATTTTTCAGAAACAGGAAGTCAGAGCTTTAGGATTAAACTTTCTCTTGACTTAACAGCCTTTGAACAGGTTCGCCTGCATGAATGAATTCAAGAGTGTAGAAAAAGAGTTAAACACGGTGAATCAATACAACAACACCAGATAAAATATTAAAAGAACCAATAATTCCGTGTACAAGTGAGGGAAAAGAACAAGTGGAATAAAAGAAGACTGACGGTAAAACCATAAAGATAAGACCAGAAGTAATAATAACAGCAATAATGTTACATCACAGCTCTGCTCGGAAGAAGAGAAGAACATAAAACCAAGTGTCTTTGGTTTTGTAAAGCAATTTATTGCTCAGTGACATAATCCAAAAAAAAAAAAAGATTGTTAAACTGCAAAGAAACAGGTCTGGTGGGTGCTGCTGGATCCAATAAAACCAAACAAGTTCTAACAGAGCTGCAAAAACTAGCTCCAATACTTAATAAATAAAACAATAAGCTAAGATGAGCCTTTATTAATCCAAAAGTGGGGAAATGTGCGAGGTTACAGCAGCACAGATAGTGCAAACATTTAGGAAATGTACAAAAAAAATAAAATAAAATAAAAATAAACCAAAATATACACAAGTGTAGAAAACAGTGTTGCACATGCCAGTGGTTTTGCATAGATTCTTTCATGAGTGGAAATATAGACATAGTGAAGTATAAATACTGCACAGATTTTTTTTTTCTAAGGAAGTAGAAAAATATCTGTGTGGTGTAAGTTTTCCTAAATGTAGAATTTTTTTCTGGTGAAGTCCAGAATATTAATTATTCACAGAATGTGTCATAATAATTATGTAAATAAGTAAATCGTGAAAGGATAAAAAGGGAATATGATAAATAAAAAATGCAAAAATAAATCAGACTATAAAAAATAGATGACATTACATAATAGCAAGTTTATAAAATAATAAAAAAATAAGCTGTGAAAGCTGGGCTGCAGGAGGCGAAGTTAATCCTACACACAGCTACATAGACGATCTTTGTGGAGCAGTGGGCGTTCGGTTCCTCCCTCCCTCCCTCCCTCCGTGGGTCAGCGTGGGCGGCCCCGTGTGGCAGGAGGAGAGCGAAACACGACACCCCGGCGGAGGAAGAGGGGGGCCGAGAGAACACGAAGTGACTGAGTGAGTGGAAAAAGAAAAAGTGCGAGCCGGAGACGGAGCAGGGACGGAGAAAGAACCCAGTTCGGTTCCTTTGTGCGGCGCCGCTGCTGCTGCTGTTGTTGTTGTGACTGTCGGCGAAAGAAGAAGAAGAAGAAGAAGAAGAAAAAAAAAGGAAGAAGATGAGGACGAAGACGTGCTGGAGGAATCGACCGTGCGACACCGTTACAACGCGCCGGACGACCGTGTAGACTCGTCGCATTCCGTCGCTCCGGCACCGACCAACGGCAGCGCGACTCCTCCAAACTTTGACCTGCGCCATTCAGACCCGGCCGCCTGGATTTCCCCCCTCAACAGGCTTCGGGGCAACTTTTCCCAGCAGCAAGTTTAACGAAAAATACAAACACCGCAGGAAGGAAAAGAAAAAAAAAAGTTTGTGACACGATAACCAAACTAAACTAACTCCGAGCGAAGTTAGCGGCCGCTTTTGAACTCCTAAAACCGGGGCAGGTTGTTTCCAACGAGCCGCTGCTGAGAACAACACCGGAGGAAGGAGTGGGGTGTCGCTAGCTCGCTCGGCGGCTAAAAGCTAGCTAACTACCGTCTAAAGTTACGAGTCGACGGGAAAAGTGACCGAAGCGGAGCACCGAAGACGGCAACAAAGATGAAAACCCCGGCGGACACGGGTGAGTACGCGGACACGCCGAATTAATTCTGTTTTTTTTCTTCTTCTGCGGTTCTTCACATGAAAACAACCGCGACTAGCTTCGGCGGCTAGCTGCCTAGCACGCTAACAAACTCCAGGGGAAAGTGTGACAAAATTATGGCGCTTAGAGCAGGATCCGTCCGAGGCTCCTGTTGTTGTTTCAAGCAGCCCCAGAAACTCGGTCCCACTCGGGGTCGTGTTGTTTCCCGGCCACGTTACAAAACTCGGCCGCAAATGCTGTTTTGAAAACTTTTATTTTTCACGATGTGTGGCTTCAAAGCGGAGCTGCTGCTGGAGTTACGGTGAGTTAGCCTCATTTCCCGGAGCGCTGCTGAGGAGTCAGGGTCAGGGCCAAGGTGCAGACCAGCACCTCTGGCATGCTGTTGGTGCCCCCCACTGCAAAAAGGTCTAAATATGGTAAAATAATACAACTTCAAACTTAATTTCCCACTTTCTGCTACATCTGTTAAGTGATTTTAAGTGCCACAACTTCGCTTATAGTGCATTTGTGGCCCCCAAACTAAAGAAAAACAGGCAGAGAAGTGCATTTATTGGCATTATTTTGCAGTTAGGTCACTACAGAAGGATGCTCCAACAAAGTAGTGCTGAGAAAATGGAGTAAAGTGGGCTAAAGAGAGGCTGGTGTGAATAATCGAGGATCTAGGCCAGTGTAAATCCAGTTAAACGTGTAGCTTATACAGCTTTTGACAGACTTGCATTCATAAGGAAGTGACACAGAGAAAACCACAAACTTAGGGTTGGATATTTTGACGTTCTATAACTGACGCCAACCCAGAGTTCCTCTTATCACTACATCAAAGCCTGAAAAGAAAGGTGGAAAGTCACTACATGATTGGATTGGAAGCTTAAATAACTGAGGTGGTTTCGAGTATGGTCTTCTTGTTCTTTCCTCGCTTAAACAGATTTATTTACACCTTTTTGACTCTGTGGTTAGCCGAGACAGTTTTACTCTCTCTGGTTCACATCCTGCATGCGGTTCTATGCATAAATCTCTGATGAGTGTTTTATTTAGTGCCACTGTCTTTATGGTAATGCACCCATAGTATAGCTGTGAAAAGATAAAAAGCATGCAAAGAGGGTAAAAGTGGTTTTATTTACATTATTTTGCAGGAAATACACCATAGAGGGAAACGTTGACAGAGAAATGCTGGGAAAATTGAGTGAAATATGAAATTAAATGTGTTTGAAGCCGGAGAAGTGAGGCCGGAGTGTATAATCAAGGATCTAGAACAGTGTAAATCCAGTTAAATGTGTAGCTTATCCAGCCTTTGTGTCCCTTCTTTATAAATGTAAGTCTGTTAGGGCAAACCACAAACTTGGTGTTGGATGTTGTTTATTATTTCAAGCTAACACCAACCCACATTTCCACTTATCGCTACACAAAAGCCTAAAGAAAGAGGTAGAAAGTTGCCACACAATCGGGTTGGAAATAGCTGAGGTGGTGGTTAGTTGAGATAGTTTAACTCTCCTGGTTAACATCCTGCTGGAGATTCTAAGCATAAATCGGCATACAACAAAAGTTTGAATTTAATTACACACTCCATTAATACCACATGCAACAACTGGTGAGCAGACCACAAGCTCGGTGCTGGATGTTTTGATTATTTTAGGCTGAGGCCAACCCACGCTCACGAAAGCCTGAAGAGAAAGGTAGAAAGTCACCACATGATTGGATTAGGAACTTACATGTCACTAAGGATGAGTGATATGTAAAAGAAAAACCATTAGCGCAATTGCAATATGAGTCACAATTTTAGTGTGAACGGCAATTTTTTTTCATTTGTTTTCCACAGAACAAAAAACGATAAAGTGATGTGTACTGGCGTCTCCACCACCCAGGCATGTTCCCTTACGTGTGCAGATTGTGATTTATAGGCCGTGTCATCTCTGTAGCACCACGATGCTTCATTTATAAGAGAATATTGTGACATAAATTGCAGCTCCTGAAGTTTGGATATTGGACTTGTTGATCATATTTCGTTTAACTGCTCAGCCCTCGCTATGATCAGTGAGTCTGGGAATTAGGTTGTGGTTTCCCAGAGCAGTTAGTTGACATGTTGCTTGAGATTTTAAGAATAAATCAGCATAGACGTATGTTCTCATCTCCTAATTTACAAAGTTTAATGTGTCACTAGCTTCCTATAAGACACTCTGTAAGTAAACCTGCAAGAATCGGAGCCAAGTGGATCCAATACTGTTAACAGCTTTACTAGGAATTTAAACAGTTTACTCAGAAATCTCAGGCCCTGCTATTTCAAATTCCACCCATTTTTCTGGGACATTTTTTGGTTTCATTGAAATGATTATGATTTTCCACACTTAGGTTATGATTTCTCCTCCATTGTGCATTTAGGTGCTCTTAAACTCAGTTTAGTCAGAAGTGCTCTGCGGTAATCTTGGCCAGGCAGAAATCCAGAACCCATAATAGATGTTTAAGAGGGGAATGCCTCACCACAACACAACATCATAATTAGAAATACGACTTTTCGATCCCTTTGATGACTGAGATAACTTTTTATATCACAAAACATTTGGATAAGCCAAACAAAAGCATCATTTTTCACAGTGGATTATCGTCTCTGTAGCTATATGTGTGTGTAAATGTAGTGTCTTATAGGAAGGAAATCGAGTTATTTGAAATGACCCATGAAACAACCTTTTGATTCTGACTGTAGCGGGGAAAAAATGCTCAACAGACGCTAAGCTATTCAACATCCCTGATTTACACCCAGAACGTTTTTCTTTGGGTCATAAACCCTTAAATGAAAGTCTGTAAGTGTAGGACAGTGTTGGAAAATTAAATTTTATGAGACAGTGAATATGCATAAGTGTCATTTTTAGAGCAAACAGGCGACCTACTTCAGACATCTGAACAATGTAGTCTCCCCTAATGACTTCCAAAGTTATGTTGCACTTCCGTTTAGTTTTAAGAGTTGTGTTGCGTTAACCATGTGCCATGCAGCAGAGGACGGCCGCCTTTTTGTAAATTACTTTTTGGTTTGGTTGTGTCGATAAACTTGCAACCGGTTTAAAGGACTCTTGTTGGTGTGACGGCTCAGCTTTTAAGGGAAAGCCAACTTGGTTTGTAAGTTGTCAGTGGTTCCTGTTTCTTAGCGTTTGTAGTGTGATTCATATCAACTTCCTTGAGTTTCTAGGGATTGAAATAATTTATGAGTCATAACGTGACATGAAGCTGCGCAGCTTCAGTGGTGACATGATGTCGGTGATTTTAGGTTGTCAACAAAAGTTTTTTGTAAGGAAGCCCATGCTAATATTAAAGGAACCACTTGGGAGCCCTGATCATATATATATATATGTGGGTCTATATATGGGTCAAGCTCGACTCTCTTCCTATCAGGAAGTCTGAAGTCTGGCCCCACCAGCACCAGCTCCAATTTTCCGCTTGTGTTACTCCTTATATCAACAACGCGCCACATGTGAGACGTCACAGCTGTAGACAGCCAGGACCAGCAAGCCAGCATGCTTTGTTGCTCTCTGTATATGTGTGTGTGTGTGTGGGAGCATGTGTGGAGTGAAAGGAGCCATACATGAGCAATTAGCTGGTGTTAAGTCTGCTAAGGGCATGGAGCCCTGCTGTTTATGACTGCGAGTGTATTTATGTGTTTGTGAGTGAAAATGTGTGTGTGTGCATGCGCGTGTGTGCCCATATGTCTGTCACTGTGCGGCTCTACCTGACATTGATGTGGTCACAACAAAGTGAGTGTTTGACTTTTACCAGTGAGACCAAATTGCCCTTGAGGAAGACCATTTGGTTGTGGGCAGGTGACTCAGCCCGTTGTAATTACAGGAAGAGCAGCTAGACGTCTTTATGCAGATTCAAACAGCTCTAATAACACTGGTTAGACCAAAGCTAATGAGCCACAGGCTCATTTTGTTAAAAAATGATGCCGTTAGTTTCCTTTGGGAAGGACTCTGTTGTGTTACTGTCTCACCATTATACTGAATTATACTGTTGGCACCAGCAGCAGAGACAGCACAATTACACTACAAGTCGAGGCCAAGTTGTTTGTCTCAGGGAAAGTTTGAGAAGAGGTGCTGGCAACTGACGTACAGCGACGTGGCTGTACAGCCTGAGTTTTAGGACACCCTGTCCCTGTGGGATTTAGTGGAGATGCTGTAGGGTCATGTGCTGCAGGTCGGCTGCAGTGTGGAGAAAGAATGGATTACTACCCATTATTTGTGCTTTGTCACCTGTGCTCTGTGCTGATTGGTCGCTGTGCCTTATAGTGTGTGGGTCAGATGCATAATATGAAGGTCTAATGTTAGTATTATTTGTGTGCAAGCCCTTGTGTTTTACAAAAGCAAGTGTGTATATACATTTTTAAAATGGCCTTTCTAAAATCAGATCATGAGTCTCACATCTGACCGTCAGATCAGGACACAAACAGCTCTCTACATCAGGTAATTAATCATAACAGGATCTTTTGACATGTCACAACCCCCCAAAAAACCCTAAATGCTTGTGTTCCTCACGGGATGCACCTTTTCCCCAGTTTTCCTCCCATTATGTGCTGACTGTGACTGATCAGGTCGACTCAAAGGTTGACCTGATCACATTCCTGATTACCGCTGAGCCAAGCCTGGGCAAGCAGACCCTGGAAAAACTACAGCAGAGTGACGTCAGCATATCTCTGGTGTGCTGTGAAGTGGCGGCCCAGGTCAGCGCTGCTGTGATGATCTCTCGATGTTACAGCGGGCCTCTTTTCCTGGAAGTGTGTATGCACAGTGGCTTTGGTGACCCATACAAAGCTTAGAGAATAGACAACAGGCTTCTCGAGCCGGGACATGCTGGCCAAACAAACACAGAGGCCTCGTGCACAGGAAAGCCTCATAGTCAGTCAGGGAGATGAGCGGTGAGAGACACTAGTGCCTGCAGCTTTATTTAGGTTTTAAAAATGTAGAAAAACACTTTATGATTTTGTGATTATGGATATCTAA